CTGGGGATTTAGCTCAGCGGCAAAAGCGCCTGCCTGGCATGCACAAGGTCGTGAGTTCGGTTTCCAGTACCGGAGGAAAAAAAAAAAAAAGAAAATGGATGCACCTTGAGACCATAATTTTAAGTGAAGTAAATCAGACACACAGCTTAGATATCACATGGCTTCTCTTCTATGAAAAGCCCAGTACAACACACACACATTTAATATTTTATAGTATTTGAATTCTTCCACAGAGGATACGTATTTCAAAGCATCATGAATGTGATAATACATTTTATCTTATTTTTGTCATGTTAACATAAATAACATTTCTCAAAACAAAATCATAGCACCACAACCTTGTTTTATATTTTAGTAAATCTTTTAGATCTTTCTCCTTTTAATTTATTTGTACCTTGAAACTATAATGTTAAGAGAAATAAATCACTGGCAAAAGCTTAAGTATTGAATGGTTTCTTGCATATGAGAAACACAAATTATAAATAAAGAACAAAATAAAAGGTAGATAGCAGGAAGTAGGGAGGTAGATCTTCCTCCAAGGGGAAAGGAGTCCAGCGATGCCGGGAAGGGGAGGGTGGGAGAGGAGGAGAGAGGACTCGGGGTGTGCTGTGTACACCCACCAGCTCCACATGAGGAAGGTGAATGCTGCATACTGCAAATACAGATCTTTGGGTCAATTTATTTTTTTTTTTTTTATTTTTTTTTTTTTGGTTTTTCTCCGGTACCAGGAACCGAACTCACGACCTTGCGCTTGCCAGGCAGGCGCTTTTGCCGCTGAGCTAAATCCCCAGCCCCTTTTTTTTTTTTTTTTTTTTTGGTTTTTCTCCGGTACCAGGAACCGAACTCACGACCTTGCGCTTGCCAGGCAGGCACTTTTGCCACTGAGCTAAATCCCCAGCCCCTTTGGGTCAATTTAAAAAATTAAAATTTAAAACGGCAAAGAATCCTTAATCTAGGTACTACTGCAGTTAAACTACACAGGAAATGAACGTGCTTGTTATCTGCTGAGCAAGTAATTCATCCATAAATAAGAGTCTGTGTGAGCTGAGAGACGGCGTCCTGCGGCATTTCTGGCTGTGGCTCTCCTGCTGGCAGTGACACGCGTGATACCTGGATACCAGGTGTCCCGGCCCCACACAGAATCTGCTCCTCAGCCACAGGCCCAGAGCAAGAAGAGAGAGCGCTGGGATGAGGCTCTTGCTGTCCTTAAGGAATAGAAGCTCTGGGAAGACATGCAGGTGAGATGCAGAACCAGACTGAGATTAGTTTGGGAAATGTTTCCCAAGTCCAAATGTGTAAACAGGGGTAGGGATAAAGCTCAGTGGTATAAGTGCCCACCTGGAAAGCACAAGGTCCTGAGTTCGATTCCTGGTACCAAAAAAAAAATGTGTAAACAGAGATCCAAAGTCACCTCCTGCTGGAGGTCTTGAAGCACTGTCTGTGTACCTGCTAGGGCTGGATGTTGCTGATTTTCCTAAGCCTCTGAAACAGGCCCTCTTGGGTGCTGTGGCATGGAGTCTCCAGTGTCCAGGGAAGAAAACAAAACAAAACAAAGTGCAAAATAAAAAGGAATATCTGCATGTACCTAAATCTGTCCTCTCGTGGCCTCTCCCTTCATTTCTCCTGGGTCCTCTAGCAGATTCTTGATGGACTTAAGCTCTAGTCTCCCAGCAGCTCTTCAGGAAACACACTTGAAAGCAGGGTGAAGAAGGCCTTTTGCGGTTATTCAGATCACTGCTTCCATAAAGCCAACAGAAGTGTCTGTTCATTATCATTACAGCATGGTAATAAAAGAAATAAGTCAAGCACAATCATCAATTTAAACTCAGATGGAATTTTGTGTTAGGAATTACCATCATCAGGTTTATCTCAAACCACCCACGGGAGAGCCAAACGTTCAAAGAACAACTCCCAGCACAAAGTAAAGCAGAATCTCTGTTCTTCTCTTTCTAAAAGATATTTCATATGAGTTGAGGTGAAAAGAGAGAAAAATGTTCCTGTATTTGTGAGGCAAATCTATCCTGGAGGAGACATTTCTGGGAGAAGACAGGTGTCCAGAGCAGCGTAACAGTGCGGTGGTGCGCCATAAGACAGCATTCCAGGGGAGCACACACCACATGCACACCGCGGGCCCCATGAGATCAGGTGGGCTGGTGCTATGCCAGGCAGGCACAGTCTGAGATGTTCTCATGAAAGCAAAACTGCCTAATGACATGCCACATTTCCCTGCTGGGAAGGTGACACACAGCTGCTCTCCAACTGGCCAGCAGCTCTTCCCTGTGGTCAAAAGAGGCGATCTTTCTGGCTGGGAGGTTGAGAGCAGAGCATATGCTGTCTCTTTCTCTTTCCCACAGCAGGATTCTAGAAGGGGCTGTTGTGTCAGCCTTGGAACCCAAGTGACAGTCCATCACTGTCCCATCAGGACCTATACTGTGGTCAAGAGCTAAACCTTAGTTGTTTTATGTCACTGCATATCGGGTCTGTTACCATACCAGCTAAGCCACTGCTTGTTGGATTGAACCATGCATAAGTCATTTGAAAATGCATCAAACTCACCTTCTAGGGTCAGCCCTGCCTCCAGCAAACCACGAGATAGTGGGCCTTGCTGTAGGGTCTGATCATCCACATTTCAGCAGGGCCACAGCCCTATGTGATGCTGACAGTTCTGGTCATCAGAATGTGCCATTCTACCCTGATTGATGCATGGCAAAAATCAAAGACACAAACACCTGAAAGTGTCATTATCATCCCCCTCTTTGTTATTGCCATCATAATCACAGTCACATCATCATTGTCACCATTTCCGGTGGTCTCTAGCCTCGAACAGAACCACCAGGAACATTGAAATGACCGGGAAATGTTTCAAGTTTATCATTAACTTGTTTCTCCACTACTGTCAGTGTAGCCTGACAGCCTCAATAAGAGAACCACTGATATAAAGGAAAATATACAAAGTAGATGAATCCACTACTGGAAATCTCCTTTGAATAGTAATTCACTGAAATCCCAGAAGAGAGACACAGGCTGGAGGGCAGCGGTACAACACGTGTGTAGCGCATAGGATGCCCAAAGACCAATCCCTAACACCAGTGAAAAAATAAATAAATTCCAGAAGGAATGATGAGGACTGCATTTCAATAAGGGAAGCAGAAAAACAAATTACCAATTGGTCTAAAGATATATCCAAATAGTAATCATGTCTGATCCCCAGCTCTGAGTGTATAGTCTAAAAATTAGAGTCACTTTTAAACAACTGAATCAAATACGTTTTTTCATAAAAAATAGGGTAAACCTACCCAGGAAGAATACTGAAGTATGTATCTCCTGAGATTTTCAGAAAGCCCACATCCCAAGGGAATTCTCCTGCAGAGTAGGGGTAACCCAAGGGATTTTATGCATGGAAATGAAGGCAGAGAATCTCTGTGAGGACAGCTCATTTCAGCCCGAGGTCGCCCAGAGCTCAGAGCTTTGAATCAGTCCTCTCACAGGTCACTGCCGGTGAAACCTAATTACAAAGTCTGAAGATTTTGGCGGTGTCTCCGCAGCATTTTCTCCCATTTCCCCCTGCATCTTCTTATGCTAAGAGTCTAAGAATTAGAATTTTGAATCACAGGTAGCAGTGAACAGAGAGAACAAAGAATAAATATATCCCTTTCACTGTAGACTGCCCATATTTCACTATTAATTTAGCAATATTACTCAAGAAATGAACAAACATGTTACTATAATAAACAATATTAACCTTTACTGTAGTAGTATTTCTTTATCCTTGAGTGTCCTGTTACTACTTATAAATCAACATTATACCTACTTTCTATTACTTGTGTCTGCAACTGAAAATTTTGGAAATGAGCTAATATTAATTAGGCATCAGCAATAGGCCATACACAGGTGATTGTACGGTCACTGAAGAACCCGCTATAGCACCATTTTATTTTGCATTTTGTAAATGAGCTTTATGAGGCCATAAATGTTAATTGAATTTCCTGGGTCAGACATTGAGCTGATCTTGGAGACAGAGACATCGGTGGGTTTGGACGTAAGCTCTGGCCTGACTTTCCGACAGGTTGGGCTATCTACACTCGAGAATCACAGTGGCTTTTATCCCCTGCACAGGTCTCCTGGTCCAGTGTCCTGAGAGAACCTCCTGTGCAGCATAGGACCAGCACATGTGGAGATCCAGAGCTATTCAGAACTTCCTGGGGTGAGGTGTGTATGTTGTGTGCTAGTTGAACAAAAGGGTCTTCTCTACAATGAGCCATCTGACTACGATTGGGGAGGAGCAAAGCTGGAGAGCCAAGTGAAGCTACCTCTAAGTTTGTGGTCGACAAATAAAAGGCTGGGTAGTTAGTTAAAACACTATAAGGACAAGGGGTGCCAGGAATGTCACTCACCTGGGAAGCGGGAGAAGACAGCAGTGGGAAGAGCGAGCTCTGATGCCACCCAGAGCCAGGTGGCACCTCCAAAACTACAGGAGCCTCCCTGGGTTTGTCTTGTGAACACTCAGTAAGGGACGACTGATTAGAGTGGCAGAACCTGTGCTCCCTAACGTCACAGAAATTCACACTTGGAAGGAACACGAGAGACCAGCTGAGCAAGCTCCACCTCAGAATTGAAGTCCAAAGAGAAACTGTGGGTCTCCAAGATCACCCAAAGACCTCTGCCAAGGACAGAGTCAAAGTCTCTTCATCCATTTCTTCACTGGCTATTGTTTCTTAGGCATCAGTTATGCCCTTGGTGTCTTGTGTTGTTCCACAGCAGGAAGCCAGGTTATTCCCCTTGAGAAAATACTCACTGATGCATTCGTTCACTTGGCAAGTACTTTTTCAGCATATATGTGTCATATATCAGACACCAAGCCCGGCATTTGCAAAAAATAGCAAGACCAGTTTGATTCCGACTACCGAACCAAGGGTAAGAGATTTCAGCATAAACTGAACTCAACTTCACTGAAACAAAGGCTTTTACCCCAGGGTTTCCTAACCAAAAGCAGAAAGGATGTCAAGGGCATTTTTTATGTCATCAGACACCTGGGTTTGCTCAAAGGAACTTGTCCAACTCAGGCTCCTGCAGAGTCTTTCATGGACAGTGGGAGAGAGTACCCTGCCTTCTGGATGGTTAATTAAGAGGAAGCTCCCAGCTCCCCACCAAAGAAAAAATATTCCTGAGTTGTGAATCCTAGAGGAGATTGAGAGAAGATTTTCTTTTCGTATTGGCAGAGAAGGAATTTACAGTGACCAGTTTTCTGGAGGAAGTGCTCTAAGGAGAGGGCAGGCAGGGCACCATGGTCAGGAGTAGGCTGGGCAGAGTGGACGCCCAGGGGAGGTGACTTCTGTGATGAAGTTAGGGGGCCATGACAGTTGTCCTAGGACTTAGCCTTGAGTTGGTGGAGGCTACAGAGGGTTTACGTCCGGTCTCAGGGCGGATTGAACAGGCCGTGCCGGAAATCTGGAGTACTCCTTACGGTGAGTGCTCAGAGGACCACTGTTTGCTCAAGAAGGGAGTCTTTGTCACAAGAACTGTGGATAAAGCAGAGAAAGAAACAAAAACATTCCATGAGAGTGTCGGTGTGACAATGCTGCAGCTCATGTCCTGCGATGAGTTCCATCAGAGGCAAATTTACCGTGTTCAGATTCCCCTGGGGGGTGTGTGTGTGCGTGGCATTGGGAGAAAGAGTGAACAAGTTATATACAGCTCTGGTAAACCAACTGGCTGCTCCATTTAGTAATGTGTTTGCCTCCCAAATCGAGTGGGGACCGGGAGACTGAGATCTACTTTGTTCTACTTTGTTCGCCGTCTGTTCCAGTCCACAGAGGCTCTCAGCTTCTGAGCATCTCATTAGACTGCAAACACTTCTAGCATTTGAAGATCCACGACATTTTATAATCTGTTCCTGAAGTGTAAGCCAACAACTTCCCTGCTTCCAGCCCCGAAGCAGCCATCTGTCGCATGCTTTGAGTCCTGTGTGCAGATCTACGCAGGGCCAGGACACTGTCTTCCCGGGGCACGTCCCCCTGTATCAGGGTGGCATCTGAATGGGAAGATCAGAGTGACTGACCGTCAGGGTGTCCAGGCAACAAGGACAAAAGAGACAAAGGCTGCCATGCTTAGGTGTGAGAGGCGGGACTCAGACCCTTGTGAGAATGAGCTACCTGCAGGAGGGGGCTGTGCCGTGCCAGGTTGCCCCTCTAGGGGCACGAGGAGTCCAAGCTCTCTGCTCTCTGGCCAGCTCTACTCACCAAGGAACAGTAGCTGAAAGGTCCACAGGTGGACAGATCACTGCTCAGAGGGTTCTGCGAGTGCTTAGCTGTCCATCCCCAACACCACATGCACTGGGTCCTTTGCTGCATTGGCCTCAGGCAGCCCAATTCGTGTGGACACCCTGATGTCCTATGGGTTGCACACCCTCATGGAAGAAGAGCACGAGGAAGGAAGGATGAGAGAAACAGTGAGAGAGACACACAGAGGGAAGCGAGATGGAACTTCTCTCACCAGGTTTGGCAGAAGCTGGTCAGTATCTTACAGCACTCTGTCACAGCCCATCACCTCCTGGGTGAATCCATGACTGGCTGGGTCTGGGTCAGGGTCCTTCTCTGCAGGTCTGCGTCAGGTCTCTGAGTATGCAGGGTGCTTGCTCCCCTTGACCCAAGACACTGCCAGGAGCAGGCTGAGGGTGGAAAACAGACCCTGAGCGTCTGAATCTGCTCCGGGCCCTGCCCTCGTCATGGCGTGGGCCTCTGTGCCACTCCTGAGACTACGACAAGCACAGCCTCAGCTCGGAACCGTAGGGAGGCTTCAGGTGCCTTAGGATGTTCCTCCATGTGGTGATGGTTTTGAGGTGGGATTAAGCCAAAAATAAAGACAGCTGGAAAAGAGACAAGGAAAATTGTAGTTTTTAAATTGAACTTTTAAGAAAAATGAAAAATTGCAGCTCCAGGGTATAAAAATTGCTCCAGCCTGTTTTCTTTCCCAGGAAACTCAATCCACAAAATTCCCAAGGGTTTGAGGACAGCACCAGCTTCAGCCCGAGCTTTCCACCTGCCCTTCTTCCTCCCAGAGAAGGGAGGCAGCAAACCCCAGCTCCGGACACACGGAAGTGGTGTGTATACCAACCCAGCCTGACACACAGCCAACTTGACAGGGGTCGTGATACACATCCTAGATCCCCATCTTGAGGAACCCCAAGGTGACAGAACCCCCCCCCCAACTCCTGACTATGATAGCCTTTCTCCAGGGCAGGCACCCTACTCTCTCTGAGTCGGTATTATTTATTCTGCTCCTCTCTGACGCATCTTGAAAGTCCTTTTTTGGTGATGAAAGTCAGCAAACCTATGACTTTTTCTGCTAGGGATGGTGAGTTGAGATGCTCCATCTCCTCTTTGGAGAATCTTCTTGGTCCTTGTCCAGTGACAATTTCAAAGATTATCATTCCCCAAAGGGGGAACTTTGTGCAGTCTTTGGACATATAGTATGTAATAATTCACATACAATTCTGAATCAATAAATAAAGAAGCACGGAACATCTGTTACCAACTTTGCTTATGTTTACCCGCCTGAATTTATCAGAGGAAAGACTCACCTAAATCAGCTGACTATGCTCTAACCATTGTTACTCTCCTACTGTCTTGTTTTCAAAGTCGGTATCATTGTTTTTAGTGTATTTTTCTTTAAAATAAAAATAACCGACTTATTTTGTAAAGGACTGTGGGTACCCTGAGCATTGCAAGCCAGAGTGAATTTCAGTGTCCGTATTTTGAATACCATTTTTCTAACTTATCTCTGGAGATAGACTTATAGAATGTGAGATGTAATTGTCAGGATGACAATTTTTTGCTTACATGTAGCTATCCAAGTGCCCCCTCTTATCAGTTTTGTATCCACATGGTTTTACTCTCAATACATTAAAAGATAATTTCTATAAGAAGGGAGAGGGAGAGAGAAGAGGAAAGGAGGGAAGAAATGAGAAATAGAGTCAAAAAAAGAATGACAGAATGGTATCAAGACAGAAGGAGTCATTAGAACTCTCATAAGGTATAAACTGAACACACATCTACTATTTTGTTTAAATCGCTGATCCATGCGAGGAAAAGTGAGATGCTGCAATCAGTTAAAACAAGAATCTGAACAGAATATAGAAGAGCTAATCAGGAAGGATGTGCACCACTAAATATGCAGCACTAGAAAAACCTACACAATATTCAGAATCTCTAGTTGGCAAAAGTGGGGTTTTTATGGACAAAATAATTGACCCTAAGTACTTCATATGTTGCAGTTATAAAATAACTTTGAAATGAAGGGGAGGGAAACTACAATAGAATCAGATAAATAAACATTGTCTGGGTTCCCAATACAAGTGGTAGGTGATCTCTCTTACTTTTTCAAAGTCCCTCACAATTTCCTCCCAGTTCAACCATTTCCAAATGGGAAATATACGGAATCAGTACAATATCAGACCCTCTTCATAAGACTATTATGAAATTAAATCCAAGAAAGCAATGAGAATCTTCAGCACAGGGCCTGGCATATAATAAACCCCAAATAATACTCATTATTCATAATTTTCTTGTTGATGGAAACTCTGAAGGAGGCCAGTTGAGGTGATTTTCAGATTGCCATAAACTATGGAAATACAATCTAATGTGAAAATGGTGGTTTAAAGCATTAGAAATCATTCTGACGGTGTCTGACTGAGACAGTCATTCCCAGACTGTAGCCATTCCTTGCAGGTCATTCACAGGAGAGAGCACACATTGTGGAGAGGGACCCCAAGAGCTGGCGGAGAGGGAGGAACCAAGGGATGGGGCAGGTGCCTCAGAGAAGGTAAGTTCACAGGAAATGGGTTCGATGTGAACAGAGACTGCTGAGGGACTGCAGCATTGGCCCATGTCATATTTAAGATCTCTGGAGTTTCTGGCAGAATGAGAAAGCCTGGCTATAGTTGTCCTGTGTCCAGCGTGAGAAAACGGCCCAGGGCTGAGGTCACAGCATACTCTGAGCTGACCTCCGGAGTCTAGAAAGACACACCCCACCAGCGGCTGGGTAAGCAGGACTCTTCAGCAAGAGGTAAAGACAGGATCCAGGCCCAGCTGGGGTGTGAAGGAGCAGACTTCCCTGTCCAATCACTTCCCAGGCTCGATGGACTCTCACCCCATTTGCACCAGGGATGGCTCAAGGCATCAGAGTCACCCATCACGGTGGTGACTTCCTCCTCCCTGGATTGTGTGTCGTGGCTGCCCCAAAGAAGCAGCACACAACAAACGCTTCCAGGTCCCTTCTCCAGCCACAGTAGTCCCACGTCTTCGCAGCCCATTGCATCAACTTCACCTCCACAGGTGTGAAAGTGAACATCCTTGCCTGTCTCCTGATCGTTGTCGAGTACCACTGTCCTAACAACAGCACATTCTCCATGGGTGATTTAATGCAGGATGACATACAATACAATGTTCGGAAACCAGACAGTGTGGTGCAAGGGTGATCTGACACTACCTTCATGTCTGGCTGCCCTGCATGTTCCGTTTGAAGGTCATGATGGTGACCTCTGTACATACCAGAGAGCAGAAGTTCTTTCTACAGTTCATGTATGTCAGATGCCTGTTCGCTCTGAAAAACTGTGACCTGTGGACTCAGAATCCAGGGGGAGATTTAACTCGGGCTTGTCATAAAAGCGAATTCCTGTACGTGCTCCATATTGTGGAGACATGGCATTGAGAATGCAGCAAGTACTGCACCTAAGTGCACAGCACCATGGGATGTGTTCAACCTGTTTGCGGGGCAGGGCCCACACAGCAGGCTCTTACCCCACCTCTGTGAGATAAAACTGGAGCATTTCTATCGCACGCCTGCTGTGCACCACGCACTGCGCTGACTCGGTGGGGAACAGCGTGGGACAATCTCTTCTCTAACCCATGTTTGTTTCATTGGGGATGTGGATACACGGGCACAGGGATAGTAGGTTTGCTTGTGGTGGGGGTACTAGAGACTGAACCCAGGACTGTCACGCTAAGCTACATCCCTAGTGCTTTTCTGTTTTTTAATTTTGAGGCAGAGACTTGTTAGGTCATTAAATTGTCCAGGTTGGACTCAAACTTGTGATCTTCCTGTCTCAGCCTCCCATGTAGCTGGAATTACAGGTGTGTGCACCACATGGGGCTATCTGATCAGTGTTACTCTAGCAGAGTCAGGAAGCAAGAACATTCTCCCAGGGGAAGAAATAAACCAGAAAGTCAGGGAAAAGAGAGTCTCCCCCAGAGTTCACCTGTGAGCTGCAACCTGAGGTCAATCAGAAGGTCAGGAAAGGGGTAGAGGAGCCCCTTAGCAGGGCTGAGGAGGATGCACCAGAGGCTGTGGCTGCCACACCCGGATGTGACGTGTGCGTCTTCCTGCCAATTCCACCCAGAAGACCTGCGTCTCCGCACCTCCCCAGCATCGCTCAAGCTGCCGAGAGCTGCCTACCCATGCCAGAGCAGAAAGGACAGAGGAACCATGCCTGCCCCCTCAGTCAAAGTCTGCTGGGAAACCCAGGTCCCAACCTCTCCTCTAGTGTCACCTAGGAACCCACTTTGGTCCTCAGAATAAAACAGACATGGCAATTATCCTTCGCTTTCCCAGGGCTCAACAAGTCTTACACGCTCCTGTTTCCCTCCTGGAATCCAGCCTGCAACATAAATAGAAGCCAGGACAGACCCACCTGGAATCAAAGACCAAGGAGAGCACAGCAGCCTTCCCGCTGAAAGTCAGACCAGCCCAGCCAACCGCAGGATAAATTAGTACTGCATGTGAATGGGCCTCAGACATGATCAGAAAAATCATAAGGTGAATCTCAGCCAAGATCAGGAGAGCCCGTTGACTCAAGAGTTGTGCAATAATAAAAGGACCCTGTGAATGACTGGATGTTAGGTATCTTTGTTACACAGCATTGCGATGGTGCCCTGGCACCCACTCAGAGTGTTTCACATGTTCACTGGCCTTACTGGATGTCTGTGGCCTGCCAGAATGATTCATGGTGTGTTGTACATTATGTTGTCAATTTTCTGTCACTTCCATTATCCTTTCTTTTTGCTACCTGCTGTCCCTCCTAAACCTTCCTGTCTCTCTTCAACCAACAGGAGAACGAATCTGGAACACATGTGCCTGATAAATGGTAAAGAAACTAGCAGACCAGAGAGCACAGGAGTCTGTGATTAAAGTCTTGATGTACTGTAAGATGTCCTTCTTATACTCTCAGAAGAAAGCATGGAATAGTATCATCGATCCTCTGGGGTTAAGCTCAGCAGATGCAGAAGATGTCGCGTAACTGTTCCTCACAGTATATCCCTAGTATGCTAATTCAAGCCCCCATCTGGCAGACCCCTCCACTAACAGGGCAGTGTGTGCACCCAAAAGTCGCACAATGGTTTGCTTTGCAATCCAGACAGGTTTTGCTCTGTTGCTCTGAATTCGTTGCTTAATCACTTAACTCACCTAACTGTAAGCAACTACTTTGTTCTCCATTGCGGGTTTGCAAAGGAAAGCATGGTGCCCATAAGAAGAAAGCCAGCGCTACTCATGTCTGATGTCCACCACCACTCGGAGCAAATTACACAGCTGGAGATCATCATTAAACAATGTTTTGATCGGCAGTGCAGAGCCGTGTGTGCTAGGCTGGGGTTCTGGTGACACTGCAGATGCCGCTGTCACTCTCTCTGTTTCCGCCCAGGTCAGAGAGACACACAGCCTCTCTTGGTTCTCAACAATGCGTGGGTAAATCTCTCCAAATACACAGGGCCTTCTGCCCTCTGTTCCACGGCTGTTCTGCTGGGTTTGCTTTTGGCCAGCTGCAAAACATTCTTGAGAGTCAAGACGAAGCAAGGTGACGTGGTCACCTTGAAAGGACCAGGAGCACGACAAGGGTGCAGCCTTGTGCTCATCGCTGTTCATGCTGGGGATGGAAATCACAGCGCAGAGACGTCACAGTGTGACTCACTCACTCCCCTCTGTGGAGACTGGGCACCTGGGCAGGCCGCAGATCACAGGAGAGGGTCACATAGAAGTAGGGAATCCCTCTTGGGAAATCAGATCAGGAAATCAACCGGATTTTTACATCAGCTACCCTAGAACAGTGATGGCGAGCCTCTCAGAGCTTCGCCTGATACAAACAGCCTGCTGGGCACGAGTGAGTGCCTAGGTTCACCACCACTGCCTGGGAAGAACAGAATATTTTCATTTAAAGAGACTGCACAGAAAATCTCCAAATGGATGCATCTCAGCACATTCATACTGAATAAATTCAAACTGGTGAGCCTATTAACATTTCCGTTTCCTTCCTCCCTCCCCTTCCTCTCTTTGCTTTCTTCCTTCTTCCTTTCTCTCTCCTATTTCTTCCCTCCTGTTCCCCTCCCCCTCCCTCTCCCTCTTTCTTTTTGTGTCTCAGCAAGCACTATCTTGCTCTGTTCCATAGCAAACCCTAATCTGTGCTGTAGAACCAGAGAGATGAGGAGCACTTTCCTTGGACCCTAATTTTCAGTCACCCTGTCTTAATTCACAAGCAATTTGTGTTATCCAGGAAAAATTAGACAAGCCAATTTCAAGATCCACCCACCCCTGGGGTTCCTTTTCACCTTGCCTGTCCCCATGGTGAGGCTGCACATCCTCACCTTCCTCACCTAGGTGGGCCTTTTTTTTTATAATGAAGTGGGACCCTTGCTTCCAAGGTCACCTCCATGGAGATCCTGAAGGGACAGGTGAGCTCCTCCACAGGCTCTTCTCCAGCAGGCATGAGGCCCAGGCATATCCTGGTCAGTGGCTGCTCTGTCATCCCATGTCCCAGAGAAATGACAGAAGGGAGGCATTTGACTCCCAGAGGGCCAGCAGCTGGACCCAGAACACAACCTGTGTGCTGAGCCCGCTGGGGCATGGGGAGACCTTTAGCATGATATGGGCGACCTTATCCTGGCTAGCAGGTGACCTCCTTCTGGCGTGGGGAGACCTTTTGCATGATATGGGAGACCTTCTCCTGGCTGGGATGAGCATACAAAAGAATGGGTGCTGTGATCCTGGCTCAGCCACAGCCTCCTCATAAATACTGCCAGAGCCCTCATTATTCCCCAGTTCTCCGCATTTCAACTGTTCGACTTTTATGCTTGTCACCATATTGTTCTGTCATTTATGTGTGTTTGCAACCCCACTCTCACTGCACACGTGCATTTTACACATGCTGCATATACACCCATGCATAGGCACATCTCAGTGTGAGTGTATGCATCTAGGACACATCCATGCTGACAGAGAAACAGGGCTGCACTGCAAGTTTAAGCATAACTGTACCCCAGGAAGTGTGAAGAAGTGCAGAAGGATGTGCTTGTGGGCAGATGGAGATGCCATGCCCACTCTGTATCCCAGGTCCCTGCACAGACCTCAGTAGATTCTTATCGAATGAGTTCAAACCAGCACACACCAGACTCGAGGAGCGGAGAGCCGCATGTGCATGCAGGAAAGCGAGCTTGCTGAAGCGAAGGGAAGACACGCGTGTTATTCCCCTGGCTCATGGCCCGATGACTGCAGAAATTTGTGTCTGATGAATATTTATGAAAGCTGCCACTTTAATTAAAATATAAAAGCCCTGAGCCACATTAATTGGGCTGAGAACACATACACACACACACACACACACACACACACACACACAAATCACTTGCTTTCTAGAAAATAATAAATGAGGAGCAGAGGTTGCCTTTGATCATAGCCACAGAAAATACTGTAGCCACTAAAGATTTAAAGAGGGGCCACATCTGAAAAGCATTTCTAATCCAGTAGACTTTAAAACCAGAGTTCCCATCCTCGCCAGGAACAGAGACAGAGCTTTCATGGACATCCGTAGAAGACCTCGTTAAACTGGCTGGTCTCTCCCCAAGTGCCACAGGGCTATCCCCTCACAGGAAGCCCCCTCTACTCCTACTTGAAACCCCTACAGCCCACAGCATGCACGGGAGCCCTGTCCTCTGACCCATGGTATTGCACCTTTTCGAGTTCGCTCCCCAACTCAAAATTCACCACCAACTCACCTCTCCAAACATCTGTCCCCAATGCAGAACCGAGATGTATGCATTCATAAAGGACCGCTAACTCCATTATTTAGAACAGTTCTGTTGCTTTTCAACATTTGTGGCTTTTCCATTTACGTGTTTGGTTGAAAAGGTTTTCTTGTCACAAAATCTGAGTTCTGAAAATGAGTAACAGAGAAGAGCGAGGATTGAGTTGATGCCTTACAGTTCCAGGCCAAGTCTCAGTAGAGGAATCAGCTCCCATGATCCTTCTGTACCTTTGTTAAGGACATGGGATAAAGATGTCAGAGGGATGTCTATCCGCACATTTATTGCAACTCTGTTCACAATAGCCAGAAAAGGAGGCAACGAAGCAGCCCACCAGCACGTGCCTGCCTACAGGAACTGTGGCATACATGGTAGACAAAGCAGAGTATTATTTGGCCAGTGCAAAGAAGGAAATCTGTAATTTACAACACCATGAATCCTACAGATTACCATGATCCTGGAGAACATTATTCTAAATTAGAAGAAAAAAAAAAAAAAACAGGCACAGGAAGACAAATACAGAATAATGTAACTCACATGAGGAATCTAAACTGTTTGTTCTCAGAGAATTGACAGTACCATAGTGGTTATCAGAGAGATTAGAGAGGCTGGTTAATAAGTACTAACTTAGAGTTAGATGAGGGAATAGGTTTGACGTTTATCGCACAGCTGTGTGACTACAGCCGACAATAATGCACTGCCTATTTCAAATAGTGAGAAGATAGGATTTCAAATGTTCTCACAGCAGAGAAATAATAAATGTGTGAGGATGAATATGCTAATTTCCTGGATGAGCTCGTGTACAGAAGCATCCCATTTTATCCCATCAGTACATACGGTCATTATGTGTCTGTAAGACCAGAGATTCAGCTCTCAGCCGCCCTCCCGGTGCTGGAGGAAGGAGCTCTTCCTAGAAGATGAGTCCTCAGGAAGCCAGGTCAAGACCCAGCCCTGTCCGGATCACAGTCAGAAGAAATCCTGTCCCAGGGCTTGGCTGCCTCATCTTCCCTGGAGGCCAGCAACGGTTCTTACGTTGTAACCTTGAGCAGAAGCTCAGCAGTATGGGTAACAATTAGCCTCTCTTCCAGCTTCTTTGGACCAATTTCGGGTTTTTGGTCTTTATTCGGTGTTTCCGTTTTCTGACGGGGTTACTAATGGTGACTCCTTTCCTTTCAGTGTGTCCTGGTCTGGATCACCACTTACATTGTCACTCAGCTTCGTAACCAATCAATTTTAAAAGGAGGGTGGAGGTAGCCTGCGTGCTTGTGCGCTGTCCGTGGTGCTGCCTGGGAATCATTTTCTCTGCCTTACAATTCTCCACGCTTCCAACTTACAATGGCCCGTTCCAAATTCTTAGCTTGGGCTCTGCCCAGAATCATTCCTGGCTCTTAGAATAGGGAGGGGACTTTACAGAAACAGGATTCTCCCCCGTTTTCAAACTTCATCCATGCTAGCTCTGTATTCCTGCTTCATATGTTCTCTGTGTGCCTCTTTAAACCCCCTTTATGAGTTTCCGATCTCTGTAACAAGAGTCCTATGCACTATATAATTTCTAACCAGACCCACATGAGTTGGCTTATTTTGGGGAGTGTATTATATTACCTTAGGAGTACAAAATGATCATAAACAAAAGGAAAGAGGACATTAGTCCAGGGAAAGCACACTGATGACTTGTTAAATCACATCTTGAGAGCATTCCGTAGCCAAGGCTCTTGAAATGAAACTTGCTGTAGTCTTAATGAAATGGGGATTAAAAAGTGCTCAAGTGGTGTTGTAAAATCTCCCCATGTCAAACTAATTGTTCTACCAGGAAGCACTGAAAGTGTAGCGGGGATCATCTTGTGATGCAGTGTTATTCAGTGACATTGCCAAGGAGCACTAATCGCCTCAAATGGAAGGAGTGATTACAGCCAGCTCTCTTTGGAACAGAGTTAGGCTTCCCTACTCTTGAACACTGAAATCCACAAATGCTTGTCTCATTGGGTACTTTCGTAATTGAAATGTAACGAGCACAGCTCATTTCCTAGCACACTGCATGGTGCCCGACAGGTGCGATGTAAATGTTAATAGCTGTAGAAATCACAGCGGTGGTTGTCAAGGATAGGTAGAGGGCTGGACCCTGCTCCGTGTTCAGTTTCTGCAGCTGGAAACATGCATTACCTTGTAAAATGAGCCGAATCTTTGAGCTTCACTTTCTTGCTCTGCGAATGACACACTGAGTGGGAGGAGACTGAAGTCTTCTCACAGAGGCCAAGCCGCACGATGATCTTGAGTCTGAGGAATGAGTGAGCAAGCCATTTGACTCAGTGTCCACAGGGCAGCTGCCTGGGTAACGATTTCACACCCGGAGGTAGAAGATTTGCTGGAATTTCACTTAAAAACATTTCAGAGCCTGTAATCTCATCAAACTTTAAGGGGCCAAGACCTTAATGGGTCATATCTGGGCCCCTGCGTGCAAGCTCACTCCTGCCCAGCAGCACTCCAAGTGCAAGTTCACTCCTTCCCCAGGGCGTCTCATTCACTGAGGCTCCCCGCCCTTTAGGAGCCAGCGCAGTCCACATGACATCACTCCACACATCTACCGCTCTGCATTCATTGACTAGTAAATTGTTCAGACATGATTTTAACCATAAGTAAATGAAGGGGAACAACCTGTTAGTGACTAGCCCAAGACTTGCCTTTAGTTACACAAAATGTGTGTCTCAGGGATTTCTATGTAAGACCCCAAATAAGTCTGTTTGGAAGTCTGTGGGTTTTAGTTAGGTTTTCTGGGGTTTTTGTTCTGTGAAATGTCTGCAGAAGTGATGGCTAATCAGAGCAGTATTTAGACCACAGTGAAGAAGGTGAGTAGCATGTCTTTCATAAGATCCTCCTCTCATCACCGAGTGACAGATGCAGCACACAAAGAGCACAGAGGCTCTAAGTGTTGCTGGAATGTTCTGGTTAGAAAAGTCCCTGCAGGCTTTCCCTGGCAAATACATAAACATGCTGTGTGGCTGCTCGCTATTTACACTAAAAAGCTGCTTCCAAAGTGCTCCCAGAAGGCATGTAGTGCTTGGAAGGGCTCTGAATGATTTCCTTAAATCTTACTTACTCCAGATTGCTTGACGACAGCTCCCTCCGCAACATAAAGCCACATGTGCCCGGGGCACGGAGGATGAGCAGGAGCTATGGACAGGATGAGGGTGGTTCCTGGCAGGAGGAGGCATGCGTCACACAGGTTCCTGGGACAACGCATAGGTCACAGGACAAAGGTGGAAGTGATCTCAGGGATGCTCTATCCCTCTTCTCATTTTCACTTCAAAGGGGCTGGTCGGGTCTTTGAGATCTGAAGAAAGGGGTCTCCCTTATGCAGCCACCTTACACTGCTATCCAGCACCCAGGGGCTGTAGCCTGCAGAGTGCCTGATGCCTGATGGGGTGGAGACAGCAAGATTCATGTTACAGCCCCCGGGGTTTGCACAAGGGGGCCTTGCTACCCTGTGGAAACCTCACCTCCCACGTCAGTGAGGCAATGGCCTTGCGCTTTGCATTCCAATTATTTATTTTATTGAGTTTGAAAATTCACATTTTTTTGCAGTGTTTGAGGATAACTAGAAAGTTAAAAAAGCAAATGAATGAGTCATCATCATATGTTTAATTAAATATCACCAGGTCTGGAGGCATGAGAGGATTTTCACTACTCAGGGACATAAACAGGCAGAGATTTCATTTATGTCTAACAATATTTCCCAATTTCAACATTAAAACGTTTTCTGGAAATAAAAATGGAATTTTCCCTATTGGTATAATATTGAGAAAGATTCATGTGCTTATTGTAACTGATAGAATTTTATTGATAACAGACAATGTAGTATACTAAAAGACTTCAACTTACTAGTAAGGAAACCAAACCACCATGATGGTGAAATGTGTTTATTTCAACCAGGAGAGGAGAAAAGGTTTTCATAAAAACCAAGTCATAGCAAATGACGATATACAGCCACACAACATACATAACCACAGCAGCATTACTTATAATAGTCCAAAGTATAAACAAACTGATAAATGGATAAAGAGAAGGTCATAGGCGTCCAATGAATATTACTAGGCACTAAAAATAATTAAATACCGGTATCTGTTACAACATAGATGAAATTTGAAAATATTATGCTAAATGATAAAAGCCAGACACAAAAGACCACACTGTTAAGGTTCCAACTTTGTCAAATATCCAGAATAGGCAAATAGGCGGAAGCAGTGAGATTACTGATAGTCAGAAAAATCGGGCCGAGAAAGATTTAGGATGAACACCAAAGGCGTTAGTTTTCCACATGAGTTAATGAAAATATTCTAACATTAGAACATGGTCTTTGTGTCAGAACTTAGTAAATGTAAAGAGAAAATCCTAAATTGTTCATCTTAATTGGGTGAATAGTGTGGTTTATGAATTATAGTTCAATGAAACCATTTAAAATTTGAACAGAAGATAATATAATCACCACCCCCTAACACAACACATATAATTTGAAGAAAAAAACTCATTTACTTTATTTAGTTTCTTTTAAAACTGAAGGCAGTTGTATCTCCCCGTGTGTATTCCAAACGAGATGAAGCCCTGCTTGTTAGTGTAATTGGTGCTGTCGCTGTGCATTTCAGTTCTCAGTATTTATCTTTTTCATTTTCCTCTTGGCCAGGATCGTCTTGAGGTGCATGCTACCAGGAGATATACTGCAAAGAAGTCTTTCAGGGCCCAGAGAAGAGGTTCGTTCTGCCTATTCTCTCTTTCCTATAACTTTGCAACTATCTTTGCAAAAAGTGCACACTTCCTGAATCAGAACAAGGGGCGCTGGTTTCTACAGGACCGACATCTGACCGTCAGAGCGCTGGTCTTACGAAGCTCCTTGTCTCTATGTTCTCACGGAGCTGCTCTGGGAAGTCTCAAACTCATCAAGCCCTGAGAATAACTTGATTCTGGGCTTTACAGGAAAGTTCAAATACTTTGTTTAACTAGTATTAGCGGCCCGCTCTTTTTTTTGGTTTTTTTTTTTTTTTGGTTTTTCTCCGGTACCAGGAACCGAACTCACGATCTCGCACTTGCCAGGCAGGTGCTTTTTGCCGCTGAGCTAAATCCCCAGCCCCAAGCGGCCCGCTCTTATATGCCACTTAAACTGTAGGCATTTGTATAACCACTAATTTCATCCTCAAAGTACTCTATTAGCTCAGCTCTATTATTGTGCCTAGTTAAGTGGAGACAATGTGGTCTAAATTAATTTTGAAAATTAAAATATTAATTGTAATTGCTCTATTAACTTAATGAAAATATTTAAAAATACAATTTTTTTCCTGTAACACCCTGCTTGTTAACTCAGTTAAATTTGGAAATATATTTGTTTTTAAACAACAAAATTGATCTTAGGGGGCATCTGATGATAAAGATTTTAGCCTATAAATGTTGATCTGCAATTACTTAAAATGAAATGACCTACCTCTTAATTTAATCCAGTAAGAATTTGGGCTTGAGTTCTTGCCCGCTATTCTGAGATCGCTTATCTAACCTCCTTAATAAAAACAGTCTGACTCTCCCCCACCTGACTACATCTGCCCTCTCCTCTGTCATTCACTGCCTGTGCCGTTTCTCCATCTCTCTTGCTTTTGGCTTATTTCTTGTCCAATTTCTAGCACTTTCCTCTGACTCTTAGCACAACCTGTATGCTTTTGCCAAGGTAATTATCTGTTCAAGCTTTTTCCACTGCGTATGTCTCTATGTCTAGGGTCAGGGCTTTCCCAGCAACACCTTCCTCCTGTAGGTTGACACTTTAGGATCTGGTCCCAGAGGCTAGCAGCAAGAGTGATGCCCCAGATTAGTCCTGAGATAGAGTTCACGGAGCCAGTATTGGGGAGGGAAGTGGAGAGGTCTGGTGTGAAGGCCGGGGTGACAAAAGCTAAGGGATTGAAATGCATGGGCCACTTCACTTTTTATCACACTGAGATACTTGGAGGGAAATGATAGCTGCATAGAACACCAACAGAAAGAGAAATAACCCCAAGATGAAAGCGCACAAAACTATGAGTGTAAAAGAATCAGCGCAGGTGGAATTTTTATTTATTTGTGAAAAGATTCTCACAGGAACAGGCCAAGGAGAAATCTGTGTTTGTGATTGTGTGCCTTGGGAAGGCAAAAGAAAGCAGAATTCTAATTTTTATAATAAAAATTTAATGGAAAAAATATATACAATAGAGAATAGGATGGATTTAGAACTGTGCAAGAAAATAGAGCGGCATGAATTCTCCTTACTTCTGGTGAATCCTACAAAGATTCTTAAGTCTCAGCTTTACAGTACTCTTAGACTTCTGCGTTGTGAAAAAATTATTCAAATGAAATGCACACAGAGCCCCTGCCCTATCTGAGGCATGGGATATTCTCACTCTCACTTTATCTCCATTGACAGAAGGCCTTTGAGCTCAAGGCTGCCTTCAGAATCAGGTCGCTTCCCAGGGGTCAGAGCTGTAACTTTAGTCCACATCCCAATGACTCAGCAGGGAGAGACGCCCCCTAAGTCTATGTGGAGGGGACAGTGGGAGGAGAAACGCAGCTCTGCACCAGCTGAGGGCTTGATAATGTGAACAAACTAGGTGACAACGCTCCCCTTAGGGGACAGACACAGACAGTAAACAGGAAGCACAGCAGTGAGCCAACCTGCGGTGCAGCCGAAGCAGATGAACGTCTTGGGGAAAAGAAAACCAAGGTGAGAGGGACTGAAGACCTGAGTGGGGCATAGATAAAATCTAAACTGAATAAAATAGGTAAAATAGAACTCAGTTACTCTGGAAGATGATTTCCACAGTTAGCTTTGGCTGTCATTACTGTTTATGTGCAATCCCTCCCCCAACCCAGGCAGTGAGGGGCGCTGTGGGGCGCTGGCCTCCAGCGGGATTCTAAGGGCTGCAGTGCCTGCAGGAGACTCCCCGGCTCCTTTGCATCACCCCCTACTCCGCCACTTGCTTGCCCGAGACTCTTCCGTTCTATGTGAACTTTACAAGAATCTCTTTTCCTGTTTTTTCTTAAAAACTCCCAAAACTGGAGAAGGAAAAGAAGGAGGGAGGGAAGAAGGGAGGGGGAGAGGGAGGACAAAAGGAGAGGGAGGGAGGCACTTTAGTGTACAGCAGAAATTAAAATCCAGTGCCTTGGGGAGTCAGGGAGGGTCCAGAACCACCCAAAGGCAGCAAGTCCCGAGTTTAATACACCTGATTTCATAATGGGGGATTTTAAAGGTCTATAAAGTATTTCAATGCAGGGACAATTGCTCTGGATTTTCCCCTTTCCTCCTGTGGCACCTCTTGGTATCACAGAGGATTGGCTCCAGGACCTGCCCCTGAGGAGACCAAGTATGTATTATCCTTCTTTAAAGCGGCATAGTATTTGTATGTAGCAGATGAACAGCCTCTTTATACTTTAAATCATCTACGGATTACGTATACCTACCACAAAGCAAAGGCGTGTAAATAGCTGTTGCACTGTTTAGGAAGTAACAACAAGAAAAAATTAGTTTGTCCATGTTCAGTATAAATAAGATTGTAGGGCTCTGGCTGGTTGAATCAACAGATGCAGAACCCATGGATTAGGAGGTTGGCTGTGTGCTTGAAATTTTCACAAGGAAAAGCTGCCAAATCAATAAACAAGTATCCTCTAAGGAATTTTCATTAGGTGTGCTTATGCCCTTTTTCACAGTATGAATCAGCCCACAGTATTTATTATCAGGCATACGCACATACAGTCCTCAGGAGATGCATTTTTAGGTTTTATTTTCCTGATCTTGGTCTACATTTTCTTGCCACTTTGTATGATCTACTTAACATGATCCAGAAAGTAAATCTTGTGGTGAGATACACTTGATTATCAGCAAACACCGGCTTCCAATTTCCTTCTGATTTGTGGTGTGGGAGCAATTCTCGGCTCATCAATCTCCCTCGATATTTTCAACTCAGGGAGGTGGAGCATTCTAGGCAGACTTAATAATTTCACTGATAAACCCCCTCCTCCCTCATTTATTCTGAAATGTCAAGCGGCCCAGATCTGGAGGTGCGTCTGTGTGCGATCCGTTGTTCAAAATTCCCCAGGGCATCTTGCTGGAAACAGGTATGATTCCCACTGATGAGATACTGACCACGAACCCGAGACAATTAATGACTGGGCGTG